AGTTCCAAGGAGGCTCCAAGGGTTCTCCGAGCCGCCCAAAGAAGCCTCCAAGAAGCCAATACCCTGCGCCAACCTGAGGAACATCAATGTGCTTTGCGGTCTCGCCTTTTCGCTTCCGATGGGCTTTTGAGACCTCAAGATGGCCCCACGATGGCCCAAGAGAGCCCTAAAAGGAGCTCAAGAGGGTCCCAAGAGGGCCCCAAGACGCCCTTTGTGTTCTTCCGAGGGAGGGGCCTACATGAAAGCTGACCTCTCTTTTTGCGCCATGGGACCCAAGGCGGCCCCAAGAGGCCTCTGAGCCACCCACCTAGGCGCCCCAAGACGCCCCAGAGGAACCCCAAAAGGGCCCCAAGCAGCAAACGCCACTGAAAAACCGGAGGGAACTCAATGTCTTTAGACGAGCGTGTTCCACTACTCGCAAACTAGCTACTCGCAAATGGCCTGGATCCGCCGCGGGGGACGACGAATGACATTGAAGCGCACATGTGTTTTTTCGGGCGTTTGCGAGTAGGCACTTTGCGAGTGGTGGAACGCGCTCGGCGAGTGTTTGCGCTCCGGCCCCGTCGCTTCCGATGGCCTTCTGGGGAGGCCTCAGGGATGGCTCGGCCTGCCGGGTCGTTGCAGGGTCGCTGCAGGGTCGTTGGGGGGGGGGTCATTGCCGGGTCTCTGCAGGATCGTTGCAGGGGGTCTCTGCAGGGTCTTGGCAGGCGGGTTTTCAATAGGCTTCCCAAGCTCGCGGAGCGCCAGCTCCGCGACGGTTTCATGGTTCATTCGTCATTGTCGTCGTCGCCGTCATCGTCATGTCCTTCTTCCTCCCCCAATCATCTGCTGGTTCAGTCTCGTCAGAATGAGGGGCTGAAACGAACGGTCATTCACTGTCCCTGGGCGCGTGGCTGAAATGGAATTCCGCGATGCGGATTATTCTTGTTGTTGGTGTTTTTGTTGTTGGTGTTGGTGTTGGTGTTGTTGTTGCTGTTGCTGTTGCTGTTGTTGTTGTTGTTGTTGATGTTGTTGTTGTTGTTGTTGTTGTTGTGTTTGTTGTTTGTTGTTTGTTGTTTGTTGTTTGTTGTTGTCGTCTCACCCGCGACCCGCCCCCACGACCCACCCGCGACCCAAACCTGCGACACACCCGCGACTCACCCGCGACCCACCCGCGACCCACCCCGCGACCCACCCCGCGACCCACCCGCGACCCACCACCCACCCCGCGACCCGCCCGCGACCCACCCCGCGACCCACCCGGCGACCCACCCGCGACCCACCCCGCGACCCGCCCGCGACCCACCCCGCGACCCACCCGGCGACCCATCCGCGAGACCCACCCGCGACCCACCCCGCGACCCACCCCGCGACCCACCCGCGACCCACCCGCGACCCACCCGCGACTCACCGCGACCCACCCGCGACCCACCCGCGACCCCACCCGCGACCAACCCAAAATGTTCGGCGCCTGCGGCGGGCTTCTTTTACATTCGTTCCAGGTGAAGAACCTGCTACCCACCCGCGACCCAAACCGCGTTCAGTGTACAAATCAAAATGTTCGGCGCCTGCGGCGGGCTGTTTTTGAATTCCCTCCAGGTGGAGGTGAAGAGCCCGCAACCCACCCGCGACCCACCCTCGACCCACCCGCGACCCACCGGCGACCCAACCCGCGACCCACCACCGACATTGCTTTAACAAAAAAACTGTGCCTGCGGCGGGCTCGTTGTATAGCCTGAAAATGTTGCGCCTGCGGCGGGCTTCTTCGGAGCCTCGCAGACTGCAGACGTCCCCGCCGCCCCCTCACTCATATCCGCAACTGCGGGGTGCAACGTCATTTTCCTTTCTCCTCCCGTTCTCCTTTCCTCGTTCCTTCCCCCGTTGCCAAAGATAGCGTCCCCACCCCGTCAGGGTTTGAAGATAACTCCAAGATCGACCCCAGATGACCCCAATGAAGCTGCCGCGCCATGGGAAGGTTCGTTACAAAATTGAACAACTGTTCCCGCCCCTTCAGCGCCCCTGAAACACGTTCAAGGTGGTTGTTCCGCTGCATGCGTCTACACTTCCCTGATCAAGGCGACTCGCCGGGCGATCTATGTCTGGATGGGCTGGTGGGGATATTTTTGCCAGCGGCCGCGCGCGAAAGCGCACACGGCGAGTCGAGTCAGAGCGGGCCGCGCAAAGACGAATTACCTAAAGCGGCGGGGCCTCAGGCGTCGCGGGACCAGCGGGTGGGGGTGCAAGCTGCGGCTGCCAGGGGCTGAGCCAGGGCAGGGCGCAAATTGGCCAACCAGGGTTGGGGTGCGGACAAAATGGCGCGGGCTGCACACCAGGGTGGGGCCAGGGAAGCGGCAAGCCAGAATCTGCGACGACTGGCTGGTGGGGATACGCGGAGCGTCAACCATTCATCATCATCATCATCATCATCATCATCATCATCATCATCATCATCATCATCATCATCATCATCATCCTCATCACCAGCAGAAACATCATGAGACACATCATCATCATCATCAGCAGCAGCAGCATCATTTTCAACATCACCCTCATTGTCAGCATCATCATTAGCATCAACCATCAACAGCATCAACATCAACATCATCATCATCATCATCATCATCATCATCGTCGAAGTCATCATCATCGCCTTCGTCATCACCATCATCATCATTACAATCACCATCAGCATCGCCGTCATACCGTCATCACCACGTTCATCACCACCACCATCACCATCACCATCACCTTCATCAGATTCATCATCCTAATCAGCATCGTCCTCATCATCACCATCAACGCCATCATCATCATCATCGTCATCATCACCATCGCCATCATCATTACCACCATCACCGTCACCATCACCATCATTATGAGCATCATCATCATCATCATCAACATCATCATCATCATCATCATCATCGGCATCATCATTACCATCATCATGACCAACATCATCATGATCACCTCGACTTTCCTCGTCATCGTGCTCTTCATTATCCTCCTAGTCATCATCATCATCATCATCAGCATCATCATCACCATCATCATCAACAACACCATCGCCATCGCCATCGTTACCGTAATCATCCTCACCATCACCATCATAACCACCACCGTCGCGTGCATCCCCATCATCCGCCGCAATAATCAAATTCTTATCTTCATCATCTCATCGTAATCGTCCTCGTAATCGTCCTGATCGATTCGAACAGCTGCTACCAAGACTGCTGGACTGGCACGGTGACGGGACTTGCCGCAGGCAGCTGGGCAACCTCTCCGAGTCGCGCCCAGGAACGCGTTGGTTGAACAAACGGAGGGCGAGTTCTTTTTGAAATGAGGCTCTCTCCTTGACGCCGCGCGCATTCGTCTTAAACGCTTGCAGCAGTAACATGGATGGCTCGAGCATTTTTTCAAAATGGTGCTCTCACCATGGCGCCGCGCACCTTCGCCTGACACGTTTGTCTCAACTGTAAGCACGGCCGGTGGCTTCTCTGCAAAAAGTGGCTATCGCTTGAGACCTCCCCAACTTTGACGGCCAGCAGTTTGAGATGTAGCGACTACACAGGTGGATGGTGGACCTGGTTCAAAAGGAGGCCCTCGCTCTAGAAGTGCACATTGAGCAGCAGTTGCACTGATAAAGGGGTCCTTCTTCAAAGTGGCTCTCGCTGGACTCCTCGTTGGACCCTGTGATCCTACCCTCCCGCGCTCCTTGCAACTCGCGGAAAGGATGCAAGACAACTTGGTTTCAAAACCTGCCGCCCGAATAGTAGGCACATGGAGTGCTGGTCTTTCAAAGCGGTGATTCTTGCAGTGCAAGTGGAACCTTGCAGGAACCTGTGGGTAGGGGATTGAGGGCAGGAGAGGTACGTAGCATCGCTGATGCATCCTGGATTTGCTCTGGTCCACACCCTTCGTCCTCCTTCTCACTTATGCTGGCCTTATTGGGGAAGAGGCCTCGTCGTCACAACTGGACACGGCTCTGAAAACGGGTCAAGAAAGACCCTGGGAGGGATCTGGAGACCCTTGTTGAACGGCTCGGTGTCGGCGGGCGCAAACTACGCGTGCAGCACATGGTATGCACCGACACCAATCTTGGCCAGGCCCAACCTCCGCCCATGTCGCATCCAATCACGGGCCTACTGGCTAGAGATCAGGGCCCTCGATATCACAAGATCCGACCACAATGCCTCATCGCAATGTGCAGCCAAGGGCACCGATCACCCGCGGATCAAATCCCCCAGGCAGGGACCGCCAACCGCTGGCCACGCTTCCAAGCACAATCGACCACGAAACCGGCAGCAAATTATCGTCGCGACCACAATGGGCGATTCCACTGTCAATTGGCAGAATGCCAAGATCTCGAAGGACTGTTGCAAACGAGCAAGGCCCAGGAGGCTGTCAGAGGCAAGAGGCGCCCGTGGACAGCAGCGCAATGCCCGGAGCCTGACATCCGCTGGTGTGTTTTCCTCAGCCCGCGGCCCACCGACCGCCTCTCTGGGGGTACTCCAGATTTCGTAATAAAAGGGAGGGGATCTGGACCCTCCAAGACAAGCCATTTCAGACCTCCCCCGTGGGAGAACCCTCCAAAACATCGTCCCCAGACCCCCCCAGGCCCTCCAAGATAGCCTGGAAGAGACCCCCCCGAAATGAGACCCCCCTCCCTTTATTGCGAAATCTGGGGGCAGTCTGTGGTGGGCAGTCTGTTGTGCCAGACCCAGACTGACTTGTTCCAGGGCCCGCCCACGGCCCCCGAATGCCGAAGTGGACCAGAGGCCGCCGGCTGAGATCCAGGAGGCTGTCTCCGACTCGCCCGCCGCACCCTGGCCAGGCCTCGGCCCGCCCTCCTCACTCGTCACTCGTCCGCCGCACCCTCCTCCTCCTCACCTCTCCTCCTCCTCCCTCCTCCTCACTCGCCCGCCGCACCCTCCTCCTCCTCCTCCCTCCTCCTCCTCCTCACTCACCCGCCGCACCCTCCTCCTCACTCGCCCGCCGCACCCTCCTCTCCCTGGCCAGGCCTCGGCCAGTGCAGCCTTCTTCTTCTCGGCCGCCTTTCTGGCGAGGGCCGCGTGCCGGTCCTCCGGCGAAAGGGCGGCGGCGAGCGCTCCCCTCGTGCTGCAGGGGGGCACAGACCTGCCACATGTCCCAGCTTTTGGTCTGGCATGCGCCGATTTTCGACGGCGCGCCGGGGGGGGGAAGTGAGAGGGGGCAGGCCTTCTCAGAAGGCGGCCGAGCTCTCAGAAGCCCCCCAGCCTTCATTGGGAAACCCTCTGTGCCTTCGGAATAGGCTTAGAAGACTTCTCGGAGGGCCGGAAGCTGTCTGAGCCTTCTGAGAAGGCCCGCCCCATCTGCTTTACTCCCTGGGCGCGCCGCCGAAGCTTACAAATGCTCGGCTGAAATGCGCGCAGGCCAGGCATGCGACGAACATGCGAGCAAACGACCTGAGGCGAATTCAAGTAAGCGTGGGCGCGACGACATGTGGCCAACGAAGACGAATCGCGTGCTCCGGCTTGACTGGATGTATCGAACACTGAACCCCGCCATGCGGAAACAGGTGGGCAGACGCGTCCTCGTCCTCATCGTCATCGTTCATCGCGAAGGCGCCCTTGAGCTTGGTCTTTCGATCCTTCTCTAGCTGTTCCTTGCGCGATCTCTCCTCCTCGGCCCTCCGCTTCTCCTCGTCCGCCTCGCGATAGGCAGCGGGGAAAAGACGGGCGCACGTCACTTCATCGCGAAGCATCTGGTTGTCACACGTGGGGCACGCGAGGACCAGTTGTGCATCAATTGTGGGACAAATGCGCCTCGCACGTTATTGAAAGTTCCTGCCCCGACGACGTCATGATCGTGATGACCAAACGCGCAGCGTATATTTCCCATTGCCTACGCATAGGGCAAGCACCTGAACCGAGTATAGACCAACAGTGTAACCTAACTGGCTATCAAGTCGGAAGCAACACCGAACATGAGCATACCCCTCATGCGACTCATTGCGTAACTGATCAAACGCGAAATATAACGTGAACAGTTGTACACGAATGATCATTACGCGGTGCTGTCATGGCGTGGTCGAGCTGTCGTATACCGTGGCGTCCGAGGGCGACTACAAAGTGAACGGCACACGCAAAATCATGTCCTTGAGGTGCGAAAGGAAGTCCGCATCGGGCGCAGTTCAAATTGCGAAGTGAACGCGGCTGGCGGCTGAGGAGGGAGGAACGTGATACCACGTGTACCTCAAGTGTAAGCATACTGGGAAACACACGCCAATGATGAAAGCACGCGCACGCGTCACTTGGAAAGCAACTGAGGTCCGAGGGCTGCAACGTGACCAAATGCGAACCACATGCGGCTCAATGATGAGCCCTTGCCATCCCCATTCACTGTATCGATGTTTGGGCAACTTCACGGTGCAAGCGCTTCTTCCTGCAGCGGCCGAGTCAACTCACTGCAGCGAGAACTGATGTGGGGCACGTTTAGCGTCAATTCCACCTGACATTGCAGATAGGAGGGCTACGCATGGCGAGTCAAGCGGGAAACAAAACTGTGACGGCTGCGCTAAGAGAGCACAAGCGGGGAACAACAGGCGTGCACCGTGCAAGGGACACACGGTGCCAATACACACACACGCGCGCACACTCACAACACCAACACCCACGCCAACACCCACATCAACAGCGACACCACCAACAACAGCAGCAGCAACAAGTACAGGAGCAATCATGTTAAGGCAGTTGCTCTTATCTGCTCGAGTGCCATTCAACACGTATACCCCAAACCCTCGATGCCCGCCCCCTTCGTCTTCGATCATGCCCCCCTTGGGGGTATATCATTCTTACCTGCAGCGTGTATTTCGCGCAGCCCCTAAGAGAGGACGGGTGGAACGGGGAGGGAAAAGTATGGAACAAGAGAGGAATTAGCAAGAGGGGGACTATGAGCAGAACGCACGTGGCAAACCAGGCGGGACGATCGGGCGGGTAGACCCTAGTGGGCGGATCGGAAGGCGGGTCCAGGCGGCCAGGTCGTGCAGGCGCGTTGCTGAAGCGTGGGTCCTGCATGAATCGCGAGGAAATTTCGAGCTACAGCGCGACCCCCAAGCACACGGCGAGAACGGCCAACGCGAGAGTGTGATTCCTGAGTGTCGAGGGCGCGGCGTCTGAATTTGTAATGAGAAAGTCTCACGCGAGAGCGCGATTCCTGGATAAAATGTGAGGAGCCCCGCACGAGAGCGCGATTTGGAAATGAGTTGTGAGGACGTATCAGGCGGGAGCCGTTGCCGTTGTAAGTCGGGGGCCAGGGGCCCAATCTGAGCCTCAAGATTTGCCCTGGTACCAAAAAAACAAGGTGCGAGCCCCATGAGGAACACTGCTACTCCAAAAGCTAAAACGGTCGCCGGAGGGGGGGGGAGAACAACACTTATCATTCTTTAGAAATGAACGCCCAACACCAACAACGACAATCGTGTTGAGACGGTTCGCTCCTAACTGCTTGCGTGCCATTCAACACGTTTACCCCAAGCCCTCGGTACCCGCCCTCTTCGCCTTCGATCGTACCCCTTTGGGGGTCGATTCCTTACCTGCCACGTGCATGTAGTGCAGCCCCTAAACAACAATGGAGGAGAGGACGGCTGGAAGGGGGAAGGAGAAGGATATAGCATGGGAGGAATAAGCATTAGGGGGCTAGGAGCAGAAAAGTGTGGCAGAACCAAACGGGAAGATCGGGCGGGTAGACCCTAGTGGGCGGGTCGGAAGGCGGGCCCAGGCGGCCAGGTCGAGCAGGCGCGTTGCTGAAGCGTGGGTCCTGCATGAATCGCGAGAAAGTCTCAAGCGATAAGGTGATTCCCGAGCAAATCGCGAGAAAGGCCAAAGCGAGAGGGTGATTCCTGAGTGGTGCTTTGGGGTTCGCTCCAGAGGGGGCGCTGGTCTTGTGGTTATGATGCCCGCGTCGACGACGATCAGAGGTGTCAGGACATTCGAGCCCAGGGTGCGCTCAGAAGCCTCTGGACTTCTTGGGGGCCTCCAGGGACCGCCGGATAGCCCGAGGAAGAGAGACGAGTTCCAGAGGGGGGTCGAGGGTTTTCACGCTTCTCGCCTCTCTCCCAATCATTGCAGCGCATCGCTGCGTCCCATGCGGGGGGGGGGGGGGCTTGCGCCGCGCTTGCGCACCAGCGGCGCCGCGCGCGCGTGCCAGCGGGGCCGCGCGCGCGTGCCAGCGGCGCCGCGCGCCGCTCGCGCGCGGCACTGGGAGGAAGAGGAGGAGGAGGATAAAGTGGAGGAGGACGAGGAGGACGAGGAGGAGGAGGAGGAGGAGGGGGAGGAGGGAGGAGGGAGGGGGCGGTCTAAATGGGGGGGCCGCGGCTGGACGCAGCTTGACACATTGGCTGGGACGGGCCTTCGAGCCCCGGAGCCCCGCCCGGCGCGCCAAGAGGCCGCCCGACGCCGCCCCCGCACCCGGGGCCGCAGCGGGCGACGCCGCACCGCACCCGCGCAGCGCAGGCCGTGCCGGAAGCACGGCAACGACGACGGCGGCGGCGGCCTCGGCGCCAACGACGCTGACGACGACGACGGAGACGACGACGGAGACGACGACGACGACGACGACGACGACGACGACGGTGGCGATGGCGAAGGCGCGAGTCGGGCCACAGCAGAAAGGGCGACGCACGCGTCGACCAATGTAGGGCAGCCTCGTGGGAAATTCTCCACCTTTGCATCCTCTTCCCTGAGATCCTACGGTGCGAAAAAAATGAGGCATCGTAAATTGAGCAGGGATTCACCGTCCCGGCATTCCTATAGGCCTACCACGAAATTGTCTTAGAACCCCACGATGTTCGAATAGCAAAAACAATGTTCTTAGAACATAAGTCCGATGTGTTAAAACAAGACACCCCCGGCCAGAAATGCTCTAAGAACGTTTCGTGGAAACCACAAACGGTCCTTGGAACATGGTCCAGTAGGCCTATAAACACGCCAGGACGCTTCGCCACTGCTTGAGTAAACCATCGCGACTGGAGCGGAGCCCCAGAGACTAGAGGCCTCCTAGATGGGGTCGGAGTAGATCGGGTCGGAGGATCGCGCCGCATCGCCGATACATCGGCGATGTATCGGCGTTGTATCGGCGATGCACCGGCGATGCAACGTCGACATCAGCGTTGCATCGGCGGAGTCGACGTGGAGCAAGTCGTGCTCCGCATCGAGCTGCATCGCCGATGCATCGAGCTGCATCGCCGATGCATCGGCGATGCGGCGCGATCCTCAGACCCCATCTGCTCCGACCCCACCTAGGAGGCCTAGAGAGACCCCATCTTCCTGCGCTGTTCTTGCGGCCGGCTCGATCCGTCAGGGTCCCTGGGCCAGAAACCTGGCGACAACGCCGGGCTCGAGACGGTGGAGACGCCAGGGTCTCGGGGACCTCCGGCAGTGGCGGCAGCACCTCCCGTCGCGGCTTTTATACGACGCGACGGGGCGCGGGCCCTCTGAAGGGGCCCAAGGACACACACACACACACACACCCACACCCACACCCACACCCACACCCACACCCACACACATATATATATATATATATATATACATACAGACAAACCCAGGATGCCCATATTTTTCCATATTTTCTTGAGTTGCGTCTTCCCCCCCCCCCCACGACTACTTGTGTCTGTGTGTCTCGAGTTTCCCATATTCCCTATATTTCCCATATTTTCCCAAATTTTCTTGCGTGCCCCCCACGACTACTTCTGTCTTGTGTGCCCCCATATTTTCTCATACTTTCTTGAGTTCCTGGGAACCGACGACTACTTGTGTCTGTCTATCGTTTTCCCTCCTGACCCTCTGTCACGTGTGCGGAGCTTCACTGTCAATGCCGCGCTTCTCTGCGGCTTGCTCGCAAACCACACCGCCATAGGCGGCGGAGAGCTTGAGAGATCCACCTACCATTAAGTCGGGCCTGTCCCCCTACAGGGGGAGTTTGAACGAAACACAAAGCAAATACCCCAAAGCTACCCCAAAAATGTTCAAACATGGTCAGAAAATAGTCCCCAGACTATTTTTTGACTATTCTTGAATGTCCCCCCCGTAAAGGGACAGGCCCGACTTAAACCTACCAAAAGGTCGAGCGGCCCGCCGGGGCGGCGCCACCCGCCCCAGGCGGCTCCGCTCCTCCACCTCCTTGGGGGCGCCCCTGAGCGGGGCGCCCGAGAGGGCGGGTCACAAGGCCCGAGGCACGTGCGCGGCCCTGAGGTGGCGCCAGAGGGCGCAGTGAAAGAAGGAGAGGAAGAGGGAGAGGAAAAACAACACTAGTAATACTCGCAATGCTGATTTCAACATTAATAGGCATGAGAGGAAGAATAATAATAACAACACCAACATAGTAATAATGATGACAAGAAGCATAATAAAGAAGAAAGGCGCCGTGCACATCAAAAATTAGGTGCGCTGGCAAATGTGAAACACAACGCCAGGCAGAGACGATGGAGACGGCCACGAGGAGGACGAGGCGAGGAGGAGAAGGAGGTTGGGCGTCGCTTAATAGCGGGGGCGAGCCCTAAAGCCCCCCTCTTGGGCCCTACAGGGCCCCTTCAGGGTCCCCAAAAGACACCTGTGTGTTGCCCCCCCATGTGTTGCCCCCCCATTACGCGACGCCCAGAAGGGAGAGGGGGGCCACGAAATCCGAGGGACACCACGGCCCCAGCCACGATCTCCCACCCCTCGCTATTGTCATTCCCCCCACCCCCCGTTTTGGAGGTCGGCGAGGGGTGTGGCATGAAGGGGTCAAGTGCCAATCATGGAAATGGCGATGCTATCTTTGATAGATGACGCCGCCAGGTTCAGCAGTGCACCACACACCTGTACACCACACCTCTTCCTACCTTCACTCTTCGACCGCCGCCGCCGCCCTCCTCTCGAACTCCATCAACCTGGACAAACCGAGGAACAACGCCGGGAGGATCCTCCTCCTCCTCCTCCTCCTCCTCCTTATCACTGCCTCCTCCTCCTCCTCCTCCTCCTCCTCCTCCTCCTGGTCGTCGTCTATGTCTTTCAGGGTCGGCGGCACCGGCGTCAGGCCTTCACAATCTAGGAACAACGCCGGGATTGGAAGCAAAGAGCCAGATCGTCGGAGATCTGGGCGCGCTGCCCCCTCCTGGCGGCGCGTACAGAGGGGTGGAGGCAGGGGGGAGGGCTTCTTAGAAGCAGGCTGCTTCTCAGAAGGCGCCGGCCTCACATCTGCAGATAGAAGGCCCGCGCCCTCTAAGAAGCATGGCTGCTTCCAAGACACCCTCCCCCCTCCCCCCACCCCCCCCTGCGCGTGGCCGGCCCTCCCCCCCATCCCAGACACACGGCGCCTCGATGTTTTCGAGGCGCGGGCCCTCGACCCCTCCACCCCTCCCCCCGCACCCGCTCGTCCTCCCTCCCTGGTCGCTCTGTGGACGGTCCCGAGGGCGAGGGCCCCGAAGGGTCGACCACGACGGAAAACCTGAGCCTCTCGCCTTCTTCGAGACGCCAGCTGCCTGGTCGACCCCTCCCCCGGCACCGGCTCGCCCTCCCTCCGGGTCGCTCCGTGGACGGTCCCGAGGCACGAGGGCCCCGAGGGGTCGACCCACGGTGGACAACCTGGGCCTCTCGCCTGTCTCGGGACGCCAGCTGCCTGGGGTCCTCGGCCGGCGGGGCCAGGGCCAGGTCGGGCATGTCCCCCCCCACAGGGCGATCTTGGACGAAAAACAAAAAATAACACAACAACTACCCCAAAACTGCTCAAACATAACCCAAAACTAACCCAACATAACCCAAACCTACCACAAAAAACAAACAAACAAACATATGCAATAATGGTGAACAAATGTTCAAAACATCGTCCCCAGCATATTTTTTGACTCTGGATCTTCCCCCTGTAGAGGGACAGGCCCGACTTAAGGCCAGGGCGGCGCCCCCCGCCTTGCGGCTCCGCTCCTCCGCCTTCCTCTCGAACTCCGCCCGGGCCAGCCGCTCGGCGCGCTCGCGCTCCCTGCGCGCCTCTCGCGGGCGCCCGCGGGCAGGCCCAGACCCCCTCGAGCCGTGAAGCAAGGACGGCGGGAGGTGCTTCGCTGTTCTCGGCCTCCCCTGCGAGCCACGGGAAAATAACGCGTGGAGAACTCTCGCTACTCTCGGCCTCTGGGGGGGGGCCCTTACTGGGCCCTAGGGCCGTCCAAAAACGATACCATGAATGAGAAGCTGGTCCCAGGGAAGGGGTCGAGACCTTTGTTGGGGGTCGACGCTATGATCAAATCATAACGTCGGGGGTCTGGGAGGGGGGAAGGGAAGGGAAGGGGCACTCAGCCTCCGGACTCATATGTACGCGAGACAGTGCCAGGCGGGGATCAGTGTCGGAGATGCGCACAAGGGTGAAGACGTCATGCAGACCACGCAAATCTCTGGGGGTCGACGTTATGCAAAAATATGATGTCGGGGGTCTGGGAGGGCAGGGCGCGATCCGCGCGTTCGGGGAGAGGGCCGGCCCATCACCACCACCACCACCACAACCACCACCATCATCATGATCACCATGATCATCAACATCATCATGACCATCATCATCATCATCATCATCATCATCATCATCATCATCATCATCATCAGTATCAGCATCAGCATCATCATCATCGTCATCAGCATCTCGTCATCAGCATCATCATCATCATCATCATCACCATCACCATCACCATCACCATCACCATCATCAGCATCAGCATCATCATCAGCATCAGCATCAGCATCAGCATCAGCATCATCATCACCATCACCATCATCATCACCATCATCATCATCATCATCATCATCAACGACATCAACATCGTCGTCGTCATCATCACCATCACCATCAGAACAACATCACCATCACCACATCATCCACAGCAACATCATCCCCTTCATCCTCATAATCATCAACATCCTCATAGCGGCTCTCCCTGGAGCCACGAGGTGTCACACGTAGCGGTCTCCTGCGCCCCCTCGAACACTCGCCACCCACAATGCTGGGCTAGCACGGTGGAGGGATTTGCCGCAGGCAGCTGGATATCGACGAACTGACTGTACTTTTTGTCGCGGCCGCAAGCGAGGGCTACGAGCCAAACCCAATTACCTAAGCGAGCGAACTAACGGCCGCCGGAGCTGCCGCCGAGGGACGCCGAGCGACGCCGGGGACTGCTAGAACGAACAGACTGTACGCGAAGCATCAAGAAGTATCGAGGTTCGAGAGTTTGGGAGATCCGCCGCCAGGAAAAAGCTGGCCAGAGAGGAGGAAACCGAAAAAAGGAGGGCCCTGTCGGCGTGAGCGGCCTGGCGCCGTGGGAGCGAGCATGCTGGGGCATTGAGAACGGGGCCCGCATGCTGAGGCTCGGAGGGGCCGGGGGGAATGAATAGAGAAGTCGACCAGTCGCCAGAGGGGGTGCACGGCTCCCCTAGTTGAGGCTAGCGTTGGGAGTTGAACTGCAGTTCCAGGGGGAGAGGAAGGGGGAGGTCCAAGTGGAGAGCTTCCATCAATTCCGTTGCTCAAGCTTGCAACTCATTTGCCCAACTCCTTCTCATATCTCATATTCATTCCCCCTCTACACCATGCCTTCCGCTCCAACTCCATCTCGTCGTCCTCCTCCTCCTCCTCCTCCTCCTCCTCCTCCTCCTGCTCCCCCCCGTGTCTCCTCCACTCCCTGTTCCTCCTGCTCCTCCTGTTCCTCCTGCTCCTCCTGCTTCTCCTCCTCCTCCTGCTCCTCCTCCTCCTGTTCCTCCTGCTGCTGCTTCTCCTCCTCCTCCTCCGCTTCCTCCTCCTTCTCCTCCTCCTCCTCCTCCTCCTCCTCCTCCCCGTCCTCCTCCTCCTCCTCTTCCTCCTCCTTCTCCTCCTCCTCCTCCTCCTCCTCCTCCCCGTCCTCCTTCCTTTTCCTCCTCCTTTTCGTCCTCCTCATCCCCCTTCTCCTCCTTCTCTCCTCCTCTCCTCCTCCTCCTCCTCCTCCTCCTCCTCCTCCTCCCCGTTCCCGTCTTCGTGTTGTGTTTGTCCTCGTCGGCGTCCTCCTCCTCCCTCCTCCTCCTCCTCCTCCTCCTCCTCCTCCTCCTCCCTCCTCCCCTTCATCCTCCTCCTCTTCCTCCGCCACCATCATCCCTTCTCACTTCGACACCACATCGCCCTCCGCAGCCCCCCCTTTCCGCACCTCTTACTTTTCCTGCTCGTCCTGCTCCTCCTGTTCTTGCTCCTGCTCCCCCTGCTCCTGCTCCTGATCCGCCTTTTCCTCCTTGTCCTTCTCCTCCTCCTCCTCCTCCTCCTCCTCCGCCACCACCACCCTCCCTCTCCTCAGGGAACACTTCGCCCTCCACATCCCCATCCCCCCTGTCCCGCCCAGCCCTGGCCCCCCGCCCAGCCCACCCCTCCTCTCCCAGAGGGTCGCCCTCCTTGCCCTCCCACATGGCCGCCCTCCCGCGCGTACTCTTTTTGAGCCGCCCTCCTCATCACCGTTTTCCGCCCCCGCCATCCCCCCTTTCTCCCCCTCAAATCAAACGAAGAACATGGATCACCACCACCGAGAACCCATCGGGGACCTCCCTGGGCGAAGGCACGCCAGGGGTTGGCACGCCTACGTTCCCGAACTGGGTGACGCTCGGACGTGCCACCTCCTACGGGTCGGTCTCCCCCCGATGGGTTCTCGGTGGCGGTGGTCCCTTCGTCCTCTCACCCAATCCGCGCCCCCCCAGGGGGGTCGGGACGCGCCTCGTCTAGTCTCTGGCTGTCGCGGTCCTGCCTCTCGTCTTTCCGCGGCTCGCCCTCCTCTCGCCGCTGCTTCTCCGCCGCGGGCTCCTTCGCCTCGCCGCCGCGGGCGAGGAGTGGCGGGGGTGAGCCGAGGATAGGATGATGATGATGCCATGATGCGACCGGCCCACGGGGGGATGAGGATGAGGAGAACACAAAAATCAACAAGAGAAAAAACGGGTAGCTTGGGACGAACTCGTCCGTCTTACCTCCGCGACGCATCAACGCTTCCGACGCGGCGTGGTCGTCGCGCTGGGAGACAGGCGGTTCGCCGCCACAACAGGGCACGGGCTGCACTGAGCGCGGACGCGATCGCGTCTGGCGTCGGTGCGGCGGACTTAATGCTTGATTTTGTTGTACACGTGAAGGGCAAGCGCCGCCCGCTGGACCGCCCGCCGCAACAAGTCACTGGCGGGGTCAGACGGGTAGGCAGCTGCAGGGCCCGAGGCCCACGTAGCAAGCGCGCTGAAGGGGCGGGGGCGAGTCGGGCTCCAGAGGGGGCTCGCGAGGACGGGGCAGGAAAGGTAGTGGGAAATCAAACTGGCGCGCCCGTGCGCTGCAGGACGCAGGGCCTCTGCGTGAGCACGTGCATGCGGTGGATTGTTGTCCGCCTGCCTGCGAGCTTTTGATGCTGCCTAGCGGCGGCTGGGACGGACTTCGCCGAGTGCCGAACTAAGGGCGGACCGGCGGCTGGAGAGCCATGCTAGCTGCGCGCGCCCCGAGCTTCGATGAGCCTGCGGAGCGTGGCTCAAACGGCGAGGAGAAAACAACTTCACAGAGAGACTGGGCGATGATTCGCTGCACCTTGGGACGGCGCGGTGGGCCAGCTGCGGGAGCATCTCGAATCTCGCGGGCAGCAGCGCGGGCTGCCGCGGCCGCGGGGGCAGCGTGCGAAAAGGGCAAAGTAGGCCTGCGCGGCAGCTCTTGTCTCACCCCAAAGGTCTCGAAAACGGTTGCGAAACGGCCCCCGATCTCCGCGGGGCGCTGATAAAGCAGAGCTCGCGGCGGCAGCTGTCGCAGGGACTTGAGCAGAGCGGATGACGGGCGGCGGGCTCCAATCCGCCATCGCGAGCAGATCTGCATCGCGAAATGGATTTGGCGGCAAACTGGGCAGATGGTGGAATATGTAGGCGACAAGCGATTCGGGCTTCGAGTGGAAAGAACTGAGCGACGCACAGCTGAGCGCGGAGCGTGTGCAAAGCACTGCAAGAAGTGTGGCAGTATAGCCGCTGCCACTCTGCGCAAGTTGCAAAATGCCCCCCCGCTGCCACCGCTTCTGCCCTGGGGCGAGCCGTTGACAAGCGAGGGGGGCCGAGGGCTCAAGGAAGGTTTCGAAGTGCTTGGCTCGCCCCGCGACCGAGAAACCGCGGCAGGAAGGGCAAAGCGCAGCCGGGAGGCATGTCGTTTTGGCTGTGACGACTGGGGCCGCGGCGGCCCATGGCGGCACCGCCGCGCGCTCGCGAGGCTAGAGAGGGGCGCAAGGTCCTCAGCGGCAGAACGGCTCAGATGCCTTACGCAGGGCGTTGAGCTCGCGCGCGAGCAGGCCAATGTCGTCCGCGCGGCCGCCGACGTAGCCTATGTCGCAGTTGCGGGCGCCGTCTGCGTTCTCCACGAAGGGCGCGAGATGGCGGATGAGCGGGTCCACCGCAATCGCCCAGGCCGACCCGCTAGCAGGGCAGCCCTGAGCCGCGCCTGGCTCGATCGCGAACGCGAAGTGGCGCGCGCTGTGCCCCTTGGCGTAGCTGCGCGGCGTGTCGCGCATCTCCTGGAAGAGGCTCACGAGGCCGATGGGCAGGCCGAAGCGCTCGAGGCCCGCGAATGGCCAGACAGGCCCAATCGACGGGAACGCAGCCGCGAAGTTGAACTTCGCGAAGACAGGGCAGCGGCGACCCGCGTCTGGCATGAACCCCCGCCCGACGCATCTCGGCGCCGAGGCGTGCTATGCGCTTGGTGAAGTTGCGGCCTGCGACGAAGCCCTGCTGCGCAATGCGCGCGCGGTCATGCGCCGCTTTCTTGGCGGGGGGTCTGGCAGCGCATGGGGTGAAATTGATGTCAGCGTCCTTGAGCGATGAAAGGCCCGGTGCCTTCGGGCCCGCGATCTGTCGCGCGCCCCCCCGAACATGCAGCCTTTGGGCAGGAATGCGAGATCGGAGTCGCCGGGGTCGCCGGTGAAGGGCACGTTGGAACGGGGGTAGAGGGTCGGCCCTACAGACTATCGAGCAAATCGGCGAGCGCCAGCCAAGCCAAGCATGGCAGTCGATCTGGGCAGGGGGCCGAGGGCGCAGCGCGGCGGAGATTTGCGAGAATGTTGCCCTTGCTCGGCGCGCCGACGTCGATGGCGGCCCCCTGCGGCGCGCGATTTCCGAAGCAGTGCTTCGCGCGGCCCGCGTCGACTACATTGGCGGAGAAGGGGGGCTGCCAGTGCGAGCGCAGGGCGCCCACTATGGCGCCGCTCTCTCTTGCTGGCCCTGGAGGCCCCTGGGGGCCGCTGATCTTGATTCCCCAGAAGGCGAGACGGCAGTTCCACGGGGCCCACTGGCGGGCCCGACGCTGAGAGGCCCGAAAGATTCGGCGGGGCGTTGCTGGGCCGAGTTGCGTCGGGCTGCCCCTGTGGGCGCCCAGCCGCTCGCAGAGCCAGAGAGTGCTGCCTCGCCGCGAAATCGCGGCAGACAGCTCGGCGAACTCGGAGTTGCGGTTGAGGGCGATGGCGCGCGCGGAGATGGGGAAATACTTGGCGCCGATCTCGGCAGAATGCAGCTTGCGCGCCGGCCCAAAGTCTCGGCGCCAGATGGCTCGCGATACTGGGCGAGCCGCGATCGCACGTCCAGAAGCCAGACCCCCCGAGGCGCCAGAGGTCTGGCGAACCCAATCATCGTGAGCGAGGCGGGCAGCTTCTGCCATGCGGCGCGTGTGCGTGCACCAGCGGTTGACTATCGGGACATGCTCGGCTGCTCGGGGCGCGCGGCGCAGATGGGGTCGCGGAAGATGGCGGGCGCGATGGCATGCTCGAACGGCGGCGTCCTCGGCTTGATGCTAACGGGGAAAATGACGACGGCGCGACAGTCCAGGAGCTCGTCGGAAAGAACCCTAGGGTCGAAGGCGACGGTGGTATCCGCGGTGAGCTCCAACGTGGCGCTCGGAGGCAGGCCGGTGATAGCGCGGTGGATGGCGGGCGCGGCAGGTGGGACCTGTTGAAGCGGGCGGGGAGGTCGGACTCGATTTCAAGCTTCGCGGCGAAGAACGCTCTTCGGGACGGCTGCAGCTGGCGGACGCTGTTGTCGAGCGCCAGGCACAAGCGCGGCGGCCGCGGCTGGGGGAAGCTGTTCGGCGGGCGGCTGGCAGCGTTGAAGTCGCCCGTGGCTCATTTTTACGAAAGGGATGCGCGAGGCGGCATCGGTGATGGCGACGGTCTGCGCGCGGCCCTCCACGGCGGCCTCGCGCGCGAAGATCGGGGGCTGCTGCGGCGTGAGCTGCGCGAGCTGCATGTGCGTGAACCCGGGGATAAGCGCGGCGGCGCATCCAGCGCCGCTCTGCGCGTCGCCGCTGGCGTTCTTGAGCCCCGAAGGAAAATTGCGCAGCGAAGCGGCCGCGGCGCCTGCGGCTCAGGCAGCGGCGGCAGGGCCGCGCCGGCAGCAGCGGGGAGGGACAGCCCTACGGGCCACAAGAGCCCGCACCGACCTGTGGCATCGCTATGTGAGTGCCTCGGGCTCAGAAGCCCAGCCCCTGGCATGCGCCCAAAGGGGGATGGGCGGGTGGGGAAATCGAGGGATGAAACCCCGACTCCCTGCTGGGCTGTAGGGGCCCTTTGGGCCCAACAGCTGCAAGCGAACGCGCGCGCGTGGCAGCCACAGGATCGGAAGTCCCGGGCACGGGACCCCAACCAGATCCCTTCCAAAGGAATCGAGTTTCGAAAACCAGCAAACCCGACCTCCTTATCAGCCCGAGGGGACAACACCAAGTAAGGCCACAATAGAATCAATATGAACAGCGGCCCTTCCCAACGAATTTTCCGAGACACTAAACGAGTTTACGTCTGCAGAAAATTGCGCAGCGAAGCGGCCGCGGCGCCTGCGGCTCAGGCAGCGGCGGCAGGGCCGCGCCGGCAGCAGCGGGGAGGGACAGCCCTACGGGCCACAAGAGCCCGCACCGACCTGTGGCATCGCTATGTGAGTGCCTCGGGCTCAGAAGCCCAGCCCCTGGCATACGCCCAACGTGAGGGCTGGGCGCGCCTTCTGGCCCAACGTATGCGCCGCTACCGGCCCTCGGAACCGCTATCGCTGTGGTCGGCCACCAATTGCGCACACGCGCCCGTTTCTAATTCGTGTTCTTTCATGTACGCCATGAACGCGGCCGACTTCCGTCCTCCGGCCTGGAGGATTTCCCACAGTTGGCAGCCCTGGGCGGCCATGTCCTGGGCGGCGCCCCTGCGGAACGCGTGCGTCCCCACGCCGGGGACGCCGACACCTTCGCCAAAGGAGCGCGTACGCTCTAGGAAGAAACGGTAGCTGAACGAAAACACACGCGAGCGTCTGCTGAGTCTCGCGCGCTCTACGGCGCACCGCAAACGATGAAAGGCGCACATGCGACGCCCCTGGTTCGCGCAGGCACACCCCCTGCGGAGGGTGACTGGAAACGCATAGTTTTTCCGGCGAGCCAACGTGACGTCGACGTGCCGGGCGCCAAATATGATACCTGAGGCCTTACCGGGCCTAAATTGCCCGACTTCCAAGCGCAACATTTCTGACTGGGCGCGGAAGAGAAATCCGCGCGCGATCACAAATGCGTCGGCCAATTCCTGTTGGCCCTGCGCCTCTGCAGCAGCGACCATCTTTCGCACCGCGTCCCCGCGGAGCACGGGGCGCCTAGATTGCGCGACGGGCGCGTCCCTTTGGGAGGCGCCCTTCACCAGTTGCTGAACACCGCCGCTCCACCAGCCGAGCGGCGCATCTAAGAACTTGTGGGCCCATCGAAGATGTTGTAAATATTTTGCTAGAGTTGGCCCGTGCGGGACAAAAAGCGCAAATTGCCTAGCGTGTGTGATGGTGGCCGGGAAG